ATTTTTCGTTAATATTTACTACAGGTTCTTTAGTTTGTCATCAGTGGAATTCTTTATGAATACTTTTTTATTCTTGAGGATAGTGAATGGATGAGTATCCTCTATCTGCTTAAAAAGGTGCAAATTTTGAAACTGGGGTCCCTTCTAAGTAGGCTTACTGTAAATAGATCTCAGGTTTGAATAATCATTCTTTCACTGGAAACAAAGTGAGTGAAATTTTGAGTTTTACTCCCTTTGTGCAATGAATTTAATAGGGGGATGAACATTATTGAGACTTTGCGGTAGGTTTTCGAGCTTCATGTTGTGAACACAAATAATAATAAAGCATTAGCAATCTAAAACTTTAAAACACCATTGTTCGTTAAAAACAAGTACAACCTCATTATTGGCCATGGTCATTTTAAAAGATTGGACATTCCAGATAATTCTCTTATGATGTAGTTACCATTTGTCTGTTTGTTTTTACATACTATATAACATTCCTGGGATGTATATTGACCTTTGATTGGAAATTATTATGAAACGTCCCATCCTTTTCACCATATATTACATAGGTACTAGCATTGAGTGTTGAGAATCAGTCAACAGGAAGCCCTAGATCTAGGTTGTATGCTTGTTGGCATTCGTCAGCAAGGCGGGTTCGCAACCATTAAGAAACTGGAGTTCCTTCGGTGATTCAAATCTGGATTATGTATTCAAATAGAACTCCAAGAGGTAACTGCGATAACTGCATAGTCCTTAGTGTTTAGCGGTGATAGAAGTCTATCAGTTAAGATGATGCATATCAAAAAAAGAACGAAACCTAGGTCCATGGACTCCTGCTGACTGACATCTACCATCTAACATCGAAATACAGTGTTGCATCACTTAGCTTAGCGGTCATATTAGAAATTTGATTGATAGACTTTGATCGATGCTAAACACTAAAGACTAGACAACGAAACTTGACACCCACTGTTAACCAATTCGTATAATATGCATAGACAGGACAGCAATTATAAATAGCAGACAAATGTTTCATAATCGGCGTTGAGCTGAAACGACCTTTGCAGAGCGACGAAACTCCAAACCTTCATGAACAATTAGTTCCCACATAAACAAAGACCTGTTTGAAAATCTAAAAGCGTTAAGCTGACTGTTCATCTGTGATTCTAACAAACTATACACTACGCTAGTCATTCTCAAATTTTAAATAACTGGGTGACAAGTTCAATTTAAGCTGTAATAAAACAGTGACTTAGTGTAGGATTGTGCATAAAGAAATGAAGTTGAAATTATAATTGAAGCAGGCGTCGGGAAGCTGTTTTATGGTTGCCAAGAAATTGGAAGTCAAAGACAGGCAAGAATTTTGAAAAAAAGGCGATTCAGCCACTTTCTGTAGCCTAGTGCACTAGGGAACGAGCCACATCTAATATGTGAGAACTTATACTACTTAGCTGTACAAATTTCTGTGGATTAAAACTGGTTTGGCACTTTGGCCTGATGGATGAAAGTCGAACACCTAGATCACCAATCGACAGCTGGACCGAGAAAACATCACGTTTTTTTAAATTCTCAAGAGGTTATTCACACGACGTACTGAATTTCAAGACGAGTCATATCCGAAAACAAGTTTTCTTACCTTAATTCATATCTTGTATGCCTAAGAAATGCAAGTATAGGTACGGAAATCTAGTTCCAAAAGCAGTATCAAGTTATCTGGACTGAAACTACCGAGTGAATAAGAACGATGTTGGTTACAACCTGGAGTTGTTTATGTTGTCAGTTAACGCATCTTCTAATGACCTTTGTAGCCTACAGTTTGCTCAAACGATCATCAATGTGAACACGCTATTTTGTATTCATCATAGAGAAGACAAATTCACCAATAAAATGAATTAATCCTGGATTATTCATGACGATAGTTGACTCTTATTTTGAGAGTAGGTGAAACAAAGTCAACAGAATGGGATGTACAGGAAGGTTAGGGAAATATGTTTAATCAGTAGATGAACTGGGATTTAGTTTAAATCACAAGCATATAAACTATCTCCTCTGTATAGTTCGTGGAAGGTTCACAATCGTGAAACTTTGAAAATAAGATGATGTTGTATCTTTATTTCCTTGTTTGGAAAACTAACTCAATTGGTCAGCTAAACAGTAATTCAATAAACAATTGACTGTCTACAGTAGTGCAATTCTCATTATCTGTAGATGGGTGTTAGAAATTCTTGTTTCCGCTCAGTGTTTTTTTTATTTAAATATCCCGCTAGGTGAACCGAGAGAGAGGGAGAGACTGTACCAAAAGTCGAATCCTAATGAGTGTGGAAATGTACAAATCCCTCATATTTTTAAAATGCTGAATGTGATATCCAACACTGATTGTCAACTTTACGTGAAACCTGAAACAGTAATTTCGTTGATCGAGGCGTGGCCCAAATGTTGTTTAAGTAACAATAATCTTCAAATATTGTAAAAGCACTAATAGCCTAGTGGATAACCCTTTGGCGTTTGAAGCGATGGGTACTAGGCTCGATTTTCAGTGGAAACAACATCACTCACTGGGGTGTCGGCACACCCAGCTGATGAGTCCCAAATAGGAAGAAAGGCGTGTCCTGGATCCCACTATTAGCCACCAAACAGACTGTACCAGCTTCCTGTTACAAGAAATGCTTAATCGATTTAAATAACGTAGTAAAAAAGTTTCACATTAAGAAACCCAGTTATCCGTTTTCTCACAGAAATCTAGTAGGAACCTTTTACACATGTACCATGTAAGACAATTTCAAACAACACATGCACGATATCCAACTTCTCATAGTTAGATCAAACTAATGAAACAAAACGATTACAGATATTAAAAATACGCATTCATAACTTGGATTCTAAAAAACGTTTCTAGTCTTTTAGTAGTATATATACTTGGAGATCAAATAACTTTTTTATGAACAAATCATGCATCATATGCTCAACGGTCTAGGTTCATGGCTGATATCATTCACCTTTTTTACAAAACAAATAATAAAGACATAAGCTGAATGACAGATTGACCTTTTTCTTACTAGAAGGATGCAAATTTTTAACATTCAACGGTTCTTCGCATTTCTTTAAGATGTACGGCAACACTGACTTGGAGTTCTTTGAATGAAATTTAACTAACTACTGAAGACGATGAGAACATGTAAGTAACCGATTACATCGGATAAAACTGACAAAAACTATCAACATTCACAGTGAGCACTAATAAACAACAACTCAAGTATTCATATATTACATCACCATTTCAAGGTAAAAACTAACAAAATAAAGGAGAGATAAATGAAAATAATAATATTAGAAATCGTAGAAAGCTATAAGACAAGAAGATAGTACTGTCTGCACTGAGATAAAGTATGGATGAATTTGTGCCACTGTGATCGAATTTTAGAACCTGAAAACATTCACTTCGCTTGTCCGATCGACTCCAAACAAAAGACGAACATTTACCGAAAAAGCTCACACAAACAATTTTAAAGATTTAATGAATTAGACAGAAATGTTAGACTAAAGACTCAACCATTTTCCAATCCAGTCTTACTCATGCTGACATTGTACACTGTGGATAGAAAATGGATCAACATGCATATCGTTATACCATAACTCCATCAATTGATGAATGTTTACCGCTTGATCAACTGACTTCCCTCCCTCTATTTATAATCTACATCTAATCTGAGCATTAGGAGAACGATGAACAGACAAAAGTAAAAAAAACTGGGAAACACAGAAGAAATATGGAACCCAATTATTGGCTAGATAACAATGTGACAAATGCGTAGGAAGTTACATATATATCATGTGTAGACGAAAAGGACTATCAGCTTACTTAATAAAGAAGGAGTTCTGAACACTGATTCAAAAGCTTTCTAAATAATAACAATAATTTTCCTAGAACACAGTACGTAATTTTAGAATCAAAGACTGGAAAGTGCGTTTTTGCGAAAAAGCTTCTAAGAAGTATAGACACTACATTTCAAAAAACAAAGAAATCAGTAAATTTGTAGTTATTTTTCAACAAAAGAATGATTTGTTGGATATTTAATATTTAATTACATATAAACTGTAGGACAAATTTTATGATGCATTTATTCATTACAAAATATTCAACGGTTGCCAAAAAGATGACAGGTAGGTTTTTTATTAGGTCAATACCTACTGATTAACTTTAATATGAGTAGAAGGCAAAGTCATACGGTTTAACTGATAAAAAGACAATATACCCACCAGAAGTCCTGTTTCCGAAATCAGTCTTCCAGTTCCCATCTTTAAACTCAACTCAAATGCTTTATGGTTGTTCAAAAGTGCTGAAGGAATGTCGAATTTAACGATGCGAATCGCTTCACCAGAGGAAAAAAGGACAAAGTAGTCATGATGAGAGGTCTACTTAAATACTTAATAAGTAGAAAAACTTTTATCACGAAAAAACTTCTACATTCAAAAGTATATTGACTTCCCAGGAACTTCTTTCAAGGAAACTAAATTCTACGCCCGTAAAACAAAACAAAAAAGCAATGCAATCAAAGGGCTTCTTATCAAGGCCCAAACAAACTTTTCTGGACATATATACTAGTCTTGGTTCCGATGTGGTGCTTTCTGAGTTGAATGTTGAATCAAAGAAACAGACACACATTGTTATAACAAAGTCTCTGAAGAAAATCAGTTTCTGCTCATATTCTAATTTGCATAGGCAACTTCAAACATACATGCACTAACACTTCTAAGAGTAGAATTAGAAAATTTCGAAAACTAGTAAATACTTTAGAGCATCATTTATTTTCAGGTAGTAAATGTAACAAAATTGTATATGTTATTGTGTGGTAAAATCATGCAATACGAATATGTAGAAAAAGAAGATAACAACTATACCTAAGTTTATATTATTCATGTTTATTACATAACTGATGTATCATGATTGCATTTATGCATGTTAATTGAATCAATCTGTTAACATGCTGTCATATATACTATATTAATTGCGACAACTAAGCTTTCGTAGATTTTAATAAAGTTGAGGGTGACAATGTAGACGAACCATGAAGTTGAGGAAATCCTAAAAACAATGGGAAAAAATAACCACCAATAAGAACGAACAAAGAAAATACTATAAACAAAATATTTTTAAGTAATGTAGTCTTCACATGACTCTAGTTTAGAGTAAACCAAAGAAAAGGGAGAAGGGGTGACAAAGATAGAGAGAGAATGGGCTATGCCTAAATCAAATGGTAAATAATACCCCAATCACTTTTCTTAATCATATACAATTCTTATCAGTTAACGTAAGAATAATGACTGATAGCCTAAGTGTTACTTTATATTATAAATGCAATGTATTCAATACTGAAGGGCGAAAAAGAAGTAATGAAGGTTTGACAGCTTTTGCTAACCATTAGTAGAACTAAACGTAAACTCAAAGAACCTCACACTTTAAGACTGGTATACAAGTCAATGATAACGCATTTTACCGTAACAGTGGAACTTGATAATCAAAATTGTGAAGAAAGTATAGGAATCCTGAGAGATCTAAAGAAACTATGGTGAACAAAACTAAGAAAAATGTATTTTTGAGATGAATGAGGATTTTTAATTTAGAAGTAGTATTCATCATGGACTGACATCAGTTGGGGAACCATTGAAAATCTGGGAGCAATGGACAGCCGTTTCGTCCTAGTGTGGTACTCCTCAGCAGTTCGCACCTACGACCCGACCAGGGGTCGAACTCAGGACCTTCAGGTTTCACGGCGAACGCATTAACCATTCAGCCACTGGGTTGGTTTCCAGTGGTGCAGTGTCTAGTGCTCCCAGATTTTCAATGGTTCCCTAACTGATGTCAGTCCATGATGAATACTACTTCTAAAAGTAAGAAGAGTTGAACGAATTTCAATAATCTAGCACCAAAAGTAAAAACTACGGATTGCATTGTGCGGATATGACCCCGAGAGACTTGGCTAAAAAACCAAGATATGTTTAGAACTGATGAAGCAGTATATAAAGCAGTTGTAAACTACACAGTTTCCATCGAAATACCCAAAGCTGAGTGATTATTCTAAACTCATCTATCATATGATTATCGCTTTTTCCTACTTCATTCAGCCAACTCTGGTGTTTTAGTTCGTGTGGCCTCTCTGGTCCCCACAAAAAAATGTTACCTTAACCAAAATAATCGGTAGTTAGCTAGTGGATGACTGCACAGTCTACACAAACTTCACTTCTAGTCTACCTAGACTGACACTTTGTACAACAGAGTGAACGCAATTCAGCAGATAACACATATCAACCACCGAAAGCTTCTTGATATCATAATGTTTGACAATGAGAAAATCTTACAGTTGTAAGAAATAGCGCTGAGGACTACACAATCTGTAAATAACAGCCACAATGTTTGGGCAACAGCCTTAATTTAGTCGAATTCCTCCTACCCTAACGACCTGTAGTAGCTATTTCTCTCACTACGTTTTCCTAGAGATACAGCTATATAGGATCTGATGCGAAATAAATACTTATTACCTACAGGCCATATGTTGTTTCTAAACGAATAAAAAGGTGACTTTAAGGGTCTGGTGATTAAAATGAGTCAGGGAGGTTACAAACCATATTAGTAAACTAGAGCTTAAAGTTGGCACACTCCGCGGTGATATACGAATAGCGAGAGGATAGAATAAAGGTGATATCAAAAAAAGACAAACTTGTGTTAGATAATAAGCAGTTCGAAGATAAAGGTTAGTACAAATATTCAAACTTTAGAAGACATCAAATAGTGGGTGCACCTGCGACTATTGCTGTCGGTCTTCATATCTGCATCTCACTCTGAGTCGACATCTTCACAGCTATCATTGTCATATTTCTATTTGATTGAGTTACTCTTTTTGCAATAGTAAACCTATGATGAGTTAAATATAGATCAGTAACAAAACATATCTTGTTAAAATTAAAGATGATACACTAGGACTGGGCTCCTGAATGTACTCCCAGAATAAAAAAATAGAGGAGTGAAGTGGTTGGATCCATCGACCACTTCACTTACTTGGAAAGTTGCATAAGCCCCAACTGGCTGGTTGTTGACTAAATCTCAACTGGGATATAGAAGGCCAGTTTGACAATAGCCAACTTGCGTCACCCGAGAAGCCAACTGGCGAGATTTCCTACTGTCTGTCAGAGGAAGAGTATAGTGCACTAGAGTCCTGTTATACGGTTGAGGCTTATCCATTAAAAGTGGACGACATGAAGCAATTTAAAGTTTTAGACCACAGATGTCTTCTCAGCATTGCCCGCGTTAGTTAGAATCACCGGGTGAGCAATGTTAAGGCTAGGAAAAAGGTAATGAGAAAGACAAACAAGTCAACTGATGAGGTTGTGAACCTTAGCCGACTGAGATGGCTGGGACAGGTAATACGTATACCGTGTCACCACCTACCTCGATCCACCATGCTAAGGGAATTTGGATTAAGATGGAATGAGGTTCACAGTTACTTAACCAAGACGTCTCACCAATCCATCAAGTCCTTGTCATTTGGTCTGAGACATGTTTGCAGATGCAGGCTCCGTGATTGAGATTCCCAGGATGATAGAAATCGGTGGTTATAGAACTGTCGGTGATATGGCTGAAGATTGATCGTAATGGGCGCAGGTGCACTCACTATTTGATGCCTTCTAAAGTTTGAATATTTGTACTTACCTTTATCTTCGAACTGCTTAATCTCTAACACAAGTTTGTCTTTTCTGATATCACCCTTATTCCATCCTCCTGTTATTTGTATACCACTATGAAGTGAGTCAACTTGAAACGATGCACTTGCGTGCTGGGCGGTTCTACTTTTTTTTCTGTCTGTCTGTCTACAGCAAGTTTGCTGACACTGTAAATCCACCAAATGTGAGCTACGTTGCGAAGACATCTATGGTCAAAACCCTGTGATTCCTTCACATCGCCTACTTTCAACAGTCATGTCTCAACTGTACCACATGACAGAACGGACTCTAGTACACTATACTCTTCCTCTGACAGACGGTAGGAAATCTCGCCAGTAGGCTTCCCGGGTGACGCAAGTTGGCTACTGTCAAACTGGCCTTCTATATCCCAGTTGAGATTTAGTCAACAACCAGCCAATTGGGCTTATGCGAATCCACCAAGTAAGTGAAGTAACCGATAAATTCCACGACTTCACTTCTCATGAATGTACTGGGAGTACATTCAGGAGCCCAGTCCTGGTGTATTATCTTACATCTGACAGGTGCAGAACCCATGGCAAAAGTACTCAGACTCCTGTTTAAAACATTCAAAACACCCCGCATTTTGTCATATTCTTTACCCAGCAGGACAATATCATTCTCATACTGCTAGTCACCCAGATGATTTCCCGGGAGTAGATGAACTCCTTTGAAGTCAGGCGTACCTGGAGATACTTGAAATGTTAAACTTCCGATTGAGTTACAGTCTCGAAAACGTAATTTGATTCTTTTTGTGTTCAAGATGAAAGCTCGTCTGTTCATCTTCGATTCACACCAAATAGTAATGAAGAACATATACTCACACGTTTGTGAGGTAATTGTTAGTAAGAGATACTACTTGGCATTTCAGACCCGGGTAGGTGGGACGGGGTCCTAATCATTGACCATCTGGTTAAAAGTCAATAGCCTAAAGCAAGTAGCCACCGGTCCACAAGCTGAAGAGCCCATAGGTAAGGCAAAATGCGGACTATGACTTCTAAGACTAACCACTAACAGGCAAATAACATTACGAAACTTTTGGCAACATCGAAGTATGTATACAAGAAATTGATATACTATAGGGGACTGGTCAAATCAACCCAGCAATTTTTAAAACTTAACATACCATATGAATGTCCTTAGTGCAATGTACTTCAAAGGGAACTAGTTTTAGAGACAAAATATTTCGTATGGTAGTTCAACTGCCTTTTATACAATCAAATTAAGCGGAACAGTAGTACTGTTATTAACACAGAAACAATGTGTTATTTGTGGTAAAATCAACCAACATCCTATACAGTAGTAATAAGATATGTAATCTGTGCCTGAAACTTTAGCGCCTGCTTACTGATAATCACTTACAGATTACTTAATCCAGAAACTTATAATTTAGTAATTTTGGGGTGTAAACCATATGCCAATATGAAATAATAAACAGTGGTTCTTAAAGTGAACAAGATGAGTGTTTTGTTGTTGATCTATATTTATCTCATCATAAATTTACCGTTGCAAAAAGAGTAACTCAGTCAAATAGAAATATGACAATGATAGCTATGAAGATATCGACTCAAAGGAATATGTAAAAACTAGCCTAGTAGCACAGGGACTACCAGATTGTCATACATAAAAACACACAGAGGAAGGAAAAAGTGACTATAAATAAGATAATATTCAAAATAAATAAATGTAGGGTGTTTATTATATAGCTGAAGGGAAATTATAAACAGACTTGTGTAATATTGAGTAGTTTTATAGGCCGTCTTCTAGCAAAGACAGAAATAATCAATTAGGTTTCTCTATTTCAACACGAGAAGTAGTTAATCATCAAATGAAGAACTCTAATTGGTCATTTCAGTGGTTATTAGGGTGACCTTTACAGTCACTCGTAGTATTCATCACTTTTGAGTTCTTCATTCCAATACTCCTATCATCTGAAATGCTCAAATCAAGGACCCTACAAGTCCCTTTATAACATATACCAATAGCCCTTTACCTCACTTGGTGATTAACTTATCGTGGTTTGAACACAATAAAGTTTTTTTTAATGAAAATAGGATATTGAAGTATGATTGAAAGCTTTACAACAGTTAACAAAACCACTGATTTATATCAACCTACCCATTTCTGATATTAATAAATGATCATTTGCCAAAGATGAGAAGAGACCGTAAAGATTGAATTCTGAATGAAGTAAGAATTGTTTAGCACACATACGCATAACTGATTTTGAGGGTAGTCTGTGATAAATAGAGTAGATAGAAAGTGTATGTTAAGCTAAAAATGCACAACATGCATAACATCACATACATCAATCAAATAAGAAAAGAAGAAATGTACATCAATTTTCTTTTAAGAACACCTACTTGATTTTCAGGAAAAACTAGATTTTCTGAACAGCTGTGTCCTACATTGAAGTGTAATGATAAATATAACTGAAATAATGAGTTGATAAGAACCGTAAATCTCATCTACCAAAAGCAAAGCCAGTCAACAGATTATATGGTCATCACTAACCAAACGGGTTCTCTGTCCCATCAAAAAAAGAGCTACAGGTGAGCAGTCTACATTCTGAGAATAGGACACATATTTTGCCAATAATCCTACAGTAATGCAAAGATTGGAAACTGTGGTGTTGCCGTTGATTAAACCAAAATTTTGCGTCCAATGTGTAATTGACACATCTATCATCATAACAAAAAACAAATTGGAAAACGCCTACAAAATAATCAACAACATTTTGGACGATATCAAGTTCATAGCTGAAGAGGAATCAAATAACAAACTTGCATTTTCAGATGTTCTGATCGCTAGAATGGATTCGGGAAAATTGGAAGCTGAAGGATACAGAAAACTAACTCATATGGATCAAATCCTTAATTACAATAGCAACAACCCTACAGTACACAAAATCACCTGTATAAAACCATTGCTCAAAACAGTGAAGACACACTGTAGTACATCAACCCTGCGGAGAAAAGAAAAAAACTGTTTGATGACTATTTTCCAGAAGAACAGCTATTTACGCAACTCCTTCAAAAGATGTTTGCATAACTAGCCGTCAACCAAGAAGACAACCTCCAAAAACCAACAAACGTCTCCAAGATCAATCCTAGATTATTAAAGACTTTTGGAATCGCTATAGCTCAGAAGCCCACAAAACCTCTTCACTTTGCGTTATGCAGGCCAAAAGGTACAACACCAAAGGAAGACAAACCAGGCATTATCTACAAAAAACTGCAAAAAACTACATCGGCCAGACTGGCGCCCTCTTCGCATGCTTCTACATGAACATCAACTAGCAGTGAAGCCTCATAGCATATCTTCGCTTATATCAATGCATAACCTCGCCTGGTTAACTAGTTTACTAGTTACTAGCCGGTCCTAAGCCCGGGTAAAGAGGGAAGGTTGGGCATAGGGCTAGCAACCCTACCCCGTAAAACAAATCTAACCGCTAAAGAAACTTCAAAGCACAAACAAAATATAAAAAATGAAAACAAACTTATTCCCCGCTGGAATCGGAGAGGCGAAATGACGCCAGTTGGTGAAAGCCTTCGGGAAGCCAATTGGCCGATGTGTCTTCTCTCGATGAAAGCGAAAGTAAACGTGGGGACATGGAATGTCCGCACGATGTTTGAACCCAGTAAGGCAGCCCAGATTGCAAAGGAGATGAGAAGGTATAACATCGAAGTGCTTGGGATTTGCGAAAGCAGATGGAATGGGAGTGGACTCTCCAAACTGTCAACTGGAGAATCAATAATCTACTCTGGTCACCCAGACGCCAACCACGAGCACACTGAGGGAGTGGCTATCATGATGTCCTCAAGAGCATCGAAGGCTCTCATGCAGTGGGAACCAATCTCCTCCAGGATCATGACAGCAAGATTCAACTCAAAAGGAAGAAAGGTCACAATCATACAATGTTATGCACCTACAAATAATGCAGAGCAAGAGAAAAAGGAGGAATTCTACAGACAACTTCAGTCAACACTGGACAAGACGTCAGTTGGCGATATCAAAATTCTAATGGGCGACATGAATGCCAAACTGGGAGGGGACAACACGGGAAGAGAACTAACCATGGGTCGAGAGGCGCTAGGTGAAATGAATGAGAATGGAGAATTGTTTGCAGAATTCTGCGCATTCAACGATTTGGTGATTGGAGGCAGTGTGTTCAGGCACAAGGATATCCACAAAGCGACATGGACTTCACCAGATGGACACACTAAAAATCAAATCGACTTTATCTCAATCTCAAGAAAATGGAGACGCAGTCTACTTAACACAAGGTCAAGAAGAGGAGCAGATGTAGGTTCAGACCACTATCTAGTGCAAGGAACCTTCCAAATCAAGTTAAAAGCCTTCAAGGAAGCTGGTGATAGACCTCAATTCAAGTACAACACTCGGAAACTGAAGGATGAAACTACAAAGGAGATCTTCAAAGCAGCCATCAAGACAAAATGGGAGACGTCGAGGGACATCCCTGAAGAAACCTGTGTAGAAGAACACTGGAAGTCTTTGAAAGCTATGTGGAAAGAAACCTGCACAACAGTATTAGGAAGGAAGAAGGAAGACAAGGAATGGATCTCGACGGATACCTGGAAGCTGATAGAGGAGAGGAGGATGGTGAAGCAGAAGATAAACCAGTGCAAGGATGCTCAACGACAAGAGGAACTGAGCACAATGTATAAAACACTGGATAAAGAAGTGAAGAAGAGTGCACGCAAAGACAAAAGACACTTCTACGACACACTGGCAAGTGAAGCAGAACAGGCTGCAGGTAAGAGAGACCTGACGACATTGTATCAAATAACCAGGTTGCTATCAGGGAAGAGACCAACACAGATGAAACCAATAAAAGATGAAGAAGGAAATTTAATTACAAAAGAAGAGAAACAGAGGAAACGATGGGCCGACCACTTCAAGAAGCTCTTGAATCGACCACCACCTGCACTTCGTCCAGAAATACCACCTGCAGCCGCTGAATTACAAGTGAACATAAATCCCCCAACGAAAATGGAAGTCCTGAACGCCATAAAGCTACTGAAATGCGGGAAAGCAGCAGGACCAGATGGAATACCGCCAGAAGCACTGAGAACAGATGCAGAGACAACAGCGGACATGCTCACACCACTATTGCAGAAGGTGTGGAGGGAAGAGAAGGTACCTGACGATTGGAAGAAGGGTTACCTTGTCAAACTGCCGAAGAAGGGAGACCTCAGTGCTTGCAAGAACTGGCGAGGAATCACTCTCCTATCCACCCCAAGTAAAATATTAAGCCGCATCATCCTGGAGAGGCTTAAAGACGCACTGGATTCAAAACTGCGACCGGAACAGGCAGGCTTCAGGAAGTACAAATCATGTGCTGACCAAATTGCAACGCTTCGTATCATCATAGAACAGAGCGTAGAATGGCAATCAGCTCTATACCTCAACTTCATCGACTTTGAGAAGGCCTTTGACAGCGTCGACCGAGAAGTAATTTGGAAACTGCTTCAATACTACGGAGTACCGCAAACCTTTATCCGCCTCATTCAACAACTATATGAAGATGCCACATGCCAAGTAATCCACAATGGGAAGCTCAGTGATGCCTTTGAAGTGAAGACAGGAGTGAAACAAGGTTGCCTACTATCCCCCATGATATTCCTTATTGTGGTGGACTGGATCATGCAGCAAACAGTAGGCAGCGAGAAGAGGGGGATACACTGGACGACGGAAAAGAACCTAGAAGACTTGGATTTCGCCGATGACTTATGCCTAATGTCACATAAACTTGAAGATCTGCAGGCAAAAACTAACAAGTTGACAGAAGAGGCAGCTAAGACGGGACTTCAGGTGAATATAGAGAAGACAGAAGTGATGAAGATACCGCACCACCAACATCAACAACAACAACAAACTCCAATCACCGTCAACGGGAGAAACTTGAAGGAAGTAACCTCCTTCACTTATCTAGGAAGCACTGTTTCAACTACAGGCGGGACGGACGAGGACGTCAAAGTCAGAATCGGAAAAGCAAGACAGGCGTTCATTAGCCTGAAACCAGTGTGGGGATCTTCTGCACTCAGCATGTGGAACAAGATACGGATTTTCAACACCAACGTCAAGTCAGTGCTCTTGTATGGCTCAGAGACTTGGCGCGTCACGAAAGGGATTTCCAATAAACTACAGACATTCATCAACAACTGCTTACGCTCGCTGCTGAAGATCAGATGGCCAGAAAAAATAAGCAACAAGGAACTCTGGGAACGAACCAACCAAGAACCTATCACGCAACAAATATGCAGGAAGAAGTGGAGATGGATTGGCCATGCACTGAGAAGGCCGACTGAGGACATCACGCGTCAGGCCCTCGAGTGGAATCCCCATGGGAAGCGACGAGTTGGACGTCCGAGGGTGACATGGAGGAGGTCATGCGAGGAGGAAATGAGAGGTTGTGGGCTGTCGTGGAACCAGGTTCAAAAGATCTCAGAGAACAGAGGTCACTGGAGGCGTGCTACTGAAGCCCTATGTTCCACTAGGAACCCAAGGGACTAATAATAATAATATAATAATAATATCAATGCATACACATAACTGTGGATATGAATTTCACTGGGAAAATGTGGAAGTTCTGAATAGAGGAAATATAAAGAATGCCAGAGAATTTTTAGAAGCTTGGCATTTAGGTCAGTCAGCAATCAACAGACATATCGACACTGACCCAATTTATCAAGCAATAAGAAACAACAAAAAAATCAAAGTTAACGTCAGAAAGACAACCGGTAGAAATGAATATAGAGACAACGACAAGACTTCGGCAGAAACAATCAATCACACACACAGCCATCAGGACAAGCTACTAAAACATTTGTTGAGAAAATCCTATAGTTCACTTTTTTCTGAAGTTTGTACTGATGCTGTTGTCTAGAATGACAATGAAAGCTTCAAGATTAGGCTTTCCAGCTCAATAGCAACTGCTTGTATGCTTAAGTTAATTCATTGGTGACCATGTATTTATAGAACGTCATTGCAGTACACCAACATTTGCGAATGCACCAAAAAAAATAACCTTCAGTCGCCGATATTCACTACTCTTCAAAAGGTTAGGATAAAAAGATGCCCTGAAATGAAAAGTTGAATGTAGCAAACTACCGTTTATGCCTCAATATGGACTCATTATTTGACCATATATTCATTACTTTTCTAGCAAAGTTAGATATGCACATTGTCTTTTAACCACCGAAACTTACTTTTC